GTAATGTGCTAGCAGTCTAGTGGTCTAAATTCCATACTTTAATTCCATTATTTCAACACTAAAGCGTTATGATGCATTGTTAGCAGTGTGAACTCGGCGGGCTAACAATGATTGTTTCATATAGTATACACGATCCTTGAGAGTACACTAAATGGTTTTAAATCCGTATTGATATTTAAGTGATGCTGGTATACAGAAAAAAACGATCTTAACTGAAACAGAAAAAAAACCCACTGCAACATAAGATTTTAGTAGTAGGGCAGTCAAATGTAGAACCTCATGTAGTGAAGCAGAAGATGCACCAGAGGTACATACATAGGTGTATACTTCGTTGCAATGACAGAAGCTTGTCCATAAACATAAGGACATCTAGGAATCTGGCGATTTATTTTTAGGAGCGGATCTGTGGTCTGGTGGTTAAATACATACATTTGTATATATAATCAAGGGGTTTGAGTTTGACCCCCCGCTCCTCCCTAACATTACCAACAGTCTTTCGGATTGACTTTAAAGCGAGGTCCCGTGTATCGTGCATTACACCTGACACATAAAAGATCCAGGTATGCTTCTGAAATGGGCCATCTTCTGTACTTCCTGCACTATATTACGAATGTCAAATTGTGAAAAACCACAAAGCGACGGCATACTTATACCGACAGATGTACCATCAGAGTTTCCTCACTATGTCTTATTGCAGCTCTGAGCTCGAGGCTACCATAGTGATTACATGTATTTTCATGTAAGGACGTTAACCAACTAGCTTGCGGAATGTGGGTGTTATACCAAGAACTGGTGTCCGCCTGAGCCTGAAAGTTGTCCGAAATGCACCTGGGGTCTGAATCGTACAACATGGATGGAGAGGTTAACAATCCGTCCAGATGATCAAAAATGATGTTTGCATTTTTGGAATGAGTTGCATTTCGTAAAAAAATCCCACAATTTTAGGATCTTATCCTCAACCATTAGGCCTACTGATTTACGGCAGATTATATCCTAGTGATATAGATTCAGAAATTGCGGAAAATGCCGCAAAACTGGGAATCAATGACAGCAGTATGTTGATTGAGATATTTCATTGTCGGTATATTTGTCACATTTTTATTTTATTAATTATGTTCGGATATAAACCAACAACTATCATTTCACTAATGTCCATGAACAAAACTAAAACAAAATTTGATATGTGGTGTTGCCATGACAACGAGAAGTTATCTAGAGTTCTCTCTATTTCTTTGTCCGTTCAAAGCAGAAAATTGGATTATGTTATTACTTTTAAACAGATTGAATATATATCACCAGTCTATGACTATTCAGTTTATATAGTACATTTGTTAATTTAAAATATCAGGAGGTGAGCTGTGGTGGGTAGGGAAACCAAAGGGTGTATCCACACTCGACGTGTTTGCCAGTGACCGTTAGGCACCGGAGACCTTGGGCGATACTAAACTGCTGACGAATTAGCTGACGATATAGAATGTATAGGAAACTGCTGACAAGGATTATCGAAAACTGCTGACCAGTTAGATAAAGAAGGGAAAACAATGAAGGTGTCAAATTGCCGTTGGTGATATTATAGGCGAGGGTCGAGAAATACTTGATAAGATGTTTTTTCAAGATGACAATATTACAAATGATAAATATTTATTATAAAAATTTAAATTGATATATTTCTCAATTTCTGTTGATATAATATTTTATTTTAGTACCTTAATGAATTTTCTTCTATGTGTTATATATTGGTTAAAATTTTAAAAATGTAGTCAAAATATGATGTATGAAAAATCATAATTTTTTTCAAGTATGTATAAAAGCTATGCATCATAGTTAAAATATATACATGTACATATATGTAATGTACATTTTAACAACATATAATTATTATGTCGTATCACGGATTTTATATATATATATAAATCCGTGGTCGTATTTAGTACAAATATGAAATAAAGTGATTTCTGTCTGTCTCTTATTTGTTGTTCGTATAATTGTATAAGTAATATTGAACAAAAATTAATAATGACCTAATTGTTATAGTTAATAAGCTTTTATTACATTATAAACACAATGTTTCTACAGATATCCATTAAACTGATAATTCATTTTTATATTTTTGAAAATTATCTAACGTTTTATCATGTATTGATTTTCATGTTTGTTCATTCGTTTGAACTAATGTATTATACATAAACTTTGTTGGCTTGTGTATGTATTCAGAAATATTTTTATGTTGCATGTTGTCAGTAAGAATGCATAAGCTCGTGAAAATTTTCGAAATTTTCGAAAGGTTTATTAACCTTTATATATATATACTGTTCCTTGACATTTCTTAATATTTTTTGAAAAATAACTTTTGCATAATATTTGAGATTGTAATAAGTATAGGTTATTGTTTATTTTTTTAATTTTATGGATCTTATTGCAAGCCACGCGAAGCGCAGCATACGTTCTATCAAATTGAAAATATAATACGATAACAAACTCGCATTTTCTTGTATTTTCTTGTCAACGCCCGTATTGAAAAAATGAAAATCAGAATTTTGATCACAGAGAAGCAACTGTTGCCATCGGCGCAGACACTTTTTATTAATAAAAAGACGACAAAAACTCTTATGGTTGATATTTTATTTTTAACCCTTAATGACGTTTTCGGGAGTTTTCATATAAGCATATAGGCAAAATTAAAACTGTTCAATAGAATTTCTTTAAACTTGGCATGTTGTTAAAATATGATAACAGAAACATTTTAAGCAAAAAATAATTTGGGGTCACCGTTCTCGTTTTTGAGTTATATCAATAGGCGCCAACAAGAGCCGGTTGATCAGGTTCCACAATGCTCGGTGCTTGGACACTAGAATCATACTCAGTGGTTGGGCAGTAAACAGTGTAGATTCTTGGCAGACGGCGCGAATGCGCACCGACTGATGTGGATCTACGATGTTCGCAAAGGATGAGTATACTCGGTCAAAGCACTTAAATTAAGTGTTAATGTCTGTATTATTGTTTCAGCCTGCCGGGATTAGGAGGTTTAAAAATGTCTAGATTTTGCTATTAAAACAAAAGATGCCAGTTCCATAACCATCCCTGGTTGGTTGAGACCATGGTTTAATTTAATACGGAATATTTGACAGGAGTGACCCCAGAACAATCTCTGCCCCTGCACTGAGAGTCCGGTATATTAACCAGTTCGCCACAAGTTGGCTCGAGTACAAAGGTTTTTGTTTTTAATCCTTTTGTAAGTCCATAACTGTGCCTGTTTCTTTGCCATGATGAAAAAACGCAAACTTCAGTTAATGAATCATGAACACGCCAGCCCTCCCACTTCCCATTTCTTAGAAATGTATCATGAGGTTTTCATATTGTCACACTTCTAAGAAAATATATATCATGAGGTTTTCATGTTGATACAATTAAGTATTAAAGTTTAGCCCGCTGGCCCGCCAGCCCGCCCAGTTCACACTGCTAGTCCGCTACACTGTTAGCCCGCCCACTTCAAACTGCCAGGTAATGTATCATAACGTTTGTATGTTCAATCAATAAAGTTTTAGATTTTAGCCCGTTGGCCCGTCAGCCCGCCCAGTTCACACTGCTAGCCCGCTACACTGTCAGCCCGCCCACTTCACACTGCCAGGTAATGTATCATGAGGTTTTAATGTTGAATCAATAAAGTTTTAGATTTTAGCCCGCTGGCCCACCAGCCCGCCCAGTTCACACTGTTAGCCCGCTACACTGTCAGCCCGTCCAATTCACACTGCTAGGAAATGTATCATGAGGTTTTAATGTTGAATCAATAAACTTTTAGATTTTAGCCCGCTGGCCCGCCAGCCCGCGCAGTTCACACTGCTAGCCCGCTGCACTGTTAGCCCGCCCACTTCACACTGCCAGGTAATGTATCATAACGTTTTTATGTTCAATCAATAAAGTTTTAGATTTTAGCCCGCTGGCCCGCCAGCCCACCCAGTTCACACTGCTAGCCCGCTACACTGTCAGCCCGTCCAATTCACACTGCTAGGAAATGTATCATGAGGTTTTAATGTTGAATCAATAAAGTTTTAGATTTTAGCCCGTTGGCCTGCCAGCCCGCCCAGTTCACACTGCTAGCCTGCTACACTGTCAGGCCGTCCAATTCACACTGCTAGGAAATGTTTCATGAGGTTTAAATGTTGAATCAATAAAGTTTTAGATTTTAGCCCGCTGGCCCGCCAGCCCGCCAAGTTCACACTGCTATCCCGCTGCACTGTTAGCCCGCCCACTTCACACTGCCAGGTAATGTATCATAACATTTTTATGTTCAATCAATAAAGTTTTAGATTTTAGCCCGTTGGCCCGCCAGCCCGCCCAGTTCACACTGCTAGCCCGCTACACTGTCAGCCCGTCCAATTCACACTGCTAGGAAATGTATCATGAGGTTTTAATGTTCAATCAATAAAGTTTTTAGATTTTAGCCCGCTGGCCCGCCAGCCCGCCAAGTTCACACTGCTAGCCCGCTACACTGTTAGCCCGCCCACTTCACACTGCCAGGTAATGTATCATAACGTTTTCATGTTGAATCAATAAAGTTTTAGATTTTAGCCCGCTGGCCCGCCAGCCCGCCCAGTTCACACTGCTAGCCCGCTACACTGTTAGCCCGCCCACTTCACACTGTGAACTTCAACTTCGCAAGGGATTGAGATAGAGTCAAAGGATTTTCAGCGTTGATTACACGTTACATTATGATCGACCTGGGGTTATTTTTAGCCTCTCACAAGTCCAAAATTTTCTTGGCGATGAGGGGGACTCCGCCCCCCTTCAAACCCCCTAACAGAAGGGGCCACATCCCCCTTCTGACAACCCCTTGATGTATCTTTTGGATGGGGGGCGGCGCCGAAAAAGTGCTCAATTTTATAGCAACATTTCATAAACGATGAAAACTTATGTTTGGGGCCAAAATAGGATTTGAGACCTAAAAAAGCGGGGGGGGGGGGGGTCGAAAGTGCGTAGTTTCGCGTATATATGTGGTAAAGGGTTAATGTATAATGTAGATGTTGTAATATTTTTCTATGTCTTGAACTTATAACCTCCTTTACATATTCAATTTTTCAAATAAATGTTTGCCGAAATTTACTTTATGTTAATACTATGTTAGCTTTTCATGTTTTAACACGCTTGCACATATTATTGTAAGACTGCTAAGAGATGGACTTTCGACCCTTATATAGTCATGCCACGGAGGCAATAAATGGGGTCACCTTTGGGGCCTTAAAAAATAAAGTTTGTAAAACTCATTTCCTATGTTAAGAGAAAAAGAAAAAAATGTAAAAAAAATCAAACTGATAAAATATTAAACGATACAAGCAAAGAGTTATAATTTTTAAACGGAATAATGTGACATAAGTTACAAACAAAAGCTTCATTCTCCTGTCGGCTAAGCATAAAATCACAAAACTCTGATAATGCGTTTTTATATGTGGCTTCGATGACGATAGTGATAGTTTGGTTCTATTCTCAAACGGATGTCGGAAAATTGTCGCAAAAATGGAACTGCCTATACCTAGCCGCTCGCCCACTTGCTTATAATTGAGTTTTTTTCCGTCATCATAATTACATACTTTTTTTCTCTCCAAAAACAGAGACGAACACGTTAACATTCTAGTAAGATTAAGCTTTAATATTATCTACTAAATTCACTTACTTAATTTCGTTTTCGTATTCCATTTCCCATTCGAGCTTTGTTTTTATTTAACCTTTGTGGTGACGGGAAAATGACAACGAGATTCAATGTACGAGATAAATTGTCAAGGGATAATTTTACCAAGCCCGTCACCCCTAGGTAACAAATCATGTCCCACTCCTATCGAGCTTAACGGGCGGGTTTTGTTTAATCTAAACTAGGATAATTGCTTTATAAATATTTAAACACACACATTCAGATAGGTAAACTCACTCTGCATTGCTTTATCTAAATAAATGTTTTGATGGTTTTTTTCTCTCTTTTCTACTGTTGTGTCAATGATTTCTTTTGTTATTGAGATGTTTCCCTCACTTACACGGTTTCATGTATGTTTATTTTTGTTTGCCTCTTTTTTATTTTAAATAAAATTATTTAAATGAGTTAATCAAGATCTATATCAGTGTCCATATTCCTCTCAGGACTCTTGTTTGTAATTAAAATATTTTTAAAATCTTGTACCGTCTCATTAACAAATTTCCGGCACTCGTCAAGAAAAGTTTTTTCAATCTGGATTCCTGGTTCGTCGCTCTTCATAGGGTCGACATTCGAGGGTTCACATTGTCCCCAGTCTTTTTTCACGAATTTGAAAAGTCCGCCTTTTATTGTTGAAAAAATTTTATTTGTTTTTATAATGTTTTCATTATATCTCATTCTAAATTCCTTTGATTCAGGGTTTTCGGTGAAGCTTGTAAAGAGGTCACAAAATGACATGCTTAAGTCATCAAATGCTTTAAACATTGCCCCATTATCTCTGCCTGTTATTGCCAAGATAACATTTTCCATATTTGATAACAATTTGTCCATGATTTGATCAGTATCAGAAGACATCTCTTCTGTCTTGAGAGAACGTACTTTTTTCAGTAGCTGCAAAAAGTCTGTGAATACCTGTTCTTTGAAATATTCGCCTTTGTCTCTGTCCATATTATAAGAAAAACGAAGAATATCTAATATTGCATCTACCATATCTTCTATCACTTGTGTACCATTCTCTTCCTTTGCTTCTAGACTACATATGGCTTCCAACTCACCTCTATCTATAGAGTACTCATGAAAAGTAGGGGGCTCCATTATAAAGCGTTTCAAGAACTCATCTGGTGAACAGCGAATTTGTTCAACTCTTTTCCTCAGACTTTCAAAAAAGCTTCCATCACAGCCATCAAACATATTCATTTTTCTGACGAAATAAAACGGCAGATTTTGATTTTGTAGACATACATTCATAAAGTCAAGACATTTCAGGACAGACACAGATACATTTTCATCGGTCCAAAATGATTCGTCCAAACTTTCGCTGACCCAAAACAGTATATTTTTCCAATGATATGAGGTAAGAAACTTCGGTTTAGTCTCAAGATAACATTTCTGGTATGCTTTCAATACACGCCAACAAAGCAACTGTGGTTCTCTCATGCTCTTTGCAAGATGTACTTCAGAAAGTGCAAACGACAATCTGAAGTAAGGATCTCTCTCGCCTGATATCGGTTCATTACATAAAGCTAGAGGTCGTTTTGCTACGACCTGACATCCAGCCTTTAAAGCATCTTTCATGGTTTCCTTCGATGGCCACTTTCGTGACCGGGTTAACCACTCGTCTGCTACTCGTGGCCAGCCATCGAATCTATATGCAGGGACATAATCCGTAGATTTTGCTATTGAGAATGCAACATCGTTCTTCGCTGTGTCGCTATCACGTTCTGCCTTTGATTCTGTGTTAGAGTTAAGTATTTCAGATTTCAGTAGTGGTGTACAATTCTTTGATCGTTTTTTCTTGTGTAAATTTTCACTCGAAGACTTGTTTGCCATAGTGTTAGTGTGCTCTTCAATTAAGTTTTGTGGGGTATTAGAATTTGCACCACCATTAAAATCTTGTTTGCCAGCTTTATCGTCCGCGAAGTTATCGTTATTGTTTGTACTGCGTGATCCATCAATACTGTCATGGAAAGTGTTCAGTACTTCAGACAAAGACATTTCTTCATATACTAACTTTTTTCTCTTAGGTCTTCCTGTTTCATCTTCATCGTCTGATGCTTCAATTTCATCAGTCTTATTCAGTATTCCAATCAGTAAGCATCTAATAAGTATATCAAGTTTTTTCAATTCATATCCAAATGGATTTGCGTTTTCAGGTATGTTAGCGACCTCTTCATCATTCAGAGAAAGTTGAATATGTTCTTTGCCGACAGCTGACGTTCTTGTTCTTGTTATGTTCAAGACGTTTTCGTTCAGAAATACCCTTGACACTAAGATAATATTTTCTTTCAGTCCTTTAAGTACGCTTATTGGCAGGTAAATTCCGTTGATTGGGTCTTGCACAGTTTTAAAGTATTTTTCATGATCTTCGTTAACTTTGATGTGGAGAAAAGCAGGTCTCTCTAAATCATAGTCGAACAAAGATTCTGTCAGAATGATCCTGTTGGAAATAATCAAAACATCAACATCTCCACTGTCACTAGGTAACGTAATCTTCGACCCATCAACACAACTCCCAACTGGAATAAGTTCCTCGTTGCCAAACGCATCACACTTAAAAAACAAATTTAAATGATCAACCTGGTTTAGCTGGTCCACCAAGTCCGGGTCTATTGTGGTGTCAATTTGTTTAGCAAGTTCAGAAAAAAATGAATCATATTCTTTCTTCTCAGTGTCGGACATTTTTTATAAAATGTGACAAAGAGCAAGGAGCCAAACTGTTACTATCTGTAAAACAAAAAACAATATGTTTAAGTTCTTTACCTACTTTTTGACCAATCAAAAGTCTTTAATTTAAGTTCTGGTCGCCTATTTCCTTTACATTGCCCTCAATAGTGTTTATTAAAAAAGAACATTGTGCCTAAGGGACGAATAGTTTTTTCCTTCAGTACAAAGGGAAATGTGTATAGTAATATCATCATAATAGATTTAGTACATGTGAGATATTTATCACCGGAAGAAAAATATGTTGATCGTGAAATAATGGCAGCAAAATGAAATCTTTATGGAAACTGTAAATAAAAAAGTATGTTGGAAATAAAAACGCATTTTGGGCCTTTAACAATTCATTTTAAACGTCGCATCTTTCTGGATAAACAATAAGCGTGTCTGTTTGAGATTTTTTTTAAACAACGTCTTAAACAGCTTAACAACCATACGAATTGTCTCTACTTTTTAGTCTTATGAAAATGTTTTACTTTAAGAATATGCAGTGGCGTACCTGCCGATAGGCCAATACGCACGGGCGTATTTAATAATTAGAGTTTCGAGAAATTAAAATTTAAAAAATGACGTGAAAAAAAAAATGATGCAGATCGATCTGCTTATCGATTCCATAGGTTTGCTTACGATGTAACCTTTGTCAAATATATGTTCATACAATCAAAGGCGAGTAAAGCACATACACGTAAGAGAAAAGAACACGAGAAGAAATTTTAGCGAGAAGTTTCCTATTGTGTTTTTTTTTATTTCTAATACAAATAATCAATTTTTTAAGTAGGTTAAGTTTGAATTACCATAAAAAATCGATTTATACCACCCTATGCGGATTTTATTAAGGATAATCATTTTTAAAACTTAAAAAACAAATGTTTTAATGCTTATAAACATCGCTGAACTTTATGTTTGTCTGGAACTTTTGTAGTACAAAGGAATACGTGTCAGCCTTTTCATATTTAATCCCGTAGTTGTTTGTAAGACAGAATAGAGATGAAATTACAATAAAAACAAAGTAAAGTCATATGAGAGAATGTTTTTTCTTCTTTTTTTTCTCATTTAGAACTTCATTCCACTCTTGCTTTAAATAAACCGTAATTTTCCTGTTCATATGGGATACAAAATCCTATATGTTATTTTTCTTTTTTCTAAGGTTTTGACTTGAATTTCTGTCAGACTAGTAAGGCATTAATTTTAACTGCGTAATAATATAACTAAAATATATCGGATGAATTTTAAAGAGTAAAATTAAGGAAAAATTGTCAAAAACAATTATTCTCTAATATTAACATAATGCACTTTTAAAATTTTTGATTTTTTATGAACCTAAGTGATCGCGTATCAATAAATTTAAGGTGTGGTTTTGATGCTATAGATTGTTGTTGCACTTAAACATTTAATCTGTTGTGTTGTTTTCATACAGATCGTTTTAAAAATGATATTTTCCTTGTTCCTTGATTATATCTTATGTTTAGGTATGTTGAAATAAGAAAAAAAATGAAACAATAAATGTTGTTTTAAACATCTTGATTAGAATAGAGATATATGGCTATGTTTTGTTTTTCTAATGGTAAATACGTTTTATAGCAATATTTTCCTTGATTATATCTCATGTCATCTTCGGTGACCCAGGCATTTTACCGTATACATGTATTAAATGTAGTGTATTCGGAATGTGTACCGTGGTTTCCGACGATGATCTCATGTCTAGGTATATTGAAAAAGAAAATAATGTTAATCATCTTGTTAACAATAGAGGTATCAGGCTATATTTTGCTTTCCTACTGGTAAATAACATTTTTAAATTATTTAAATAGGATTTTGCCATTCATGAAATGTGCATAAAACTTTGCAACATAATGTTTTTGGTCTTCAGAAATGTAGCACATTCATGGTAAATATTCTTATTGTTATCATTTTTATTTTTGTTTATAATTGTCCTTAAAATATAAACCTGGAAACTTTCAAATGGTTCATCATTTTACAATAAGAGCTTTGTTGTTATATGAATTTGGCCTACTTCACTTTTGAAAACAAACATGGCTGACAAAGCGGAATCACCTTAACAGCCTTTAATTATTAATAGTTTTTTACTAAACAGTCGCCTCTCTTACACACTCACTCTCTCGTTAAATTTATGCCCATTAAAGGTCATTGAAAAATGAATACCATGTCAGTACATTTTTCCATATAGAGCATTATTAATCTTTCATACTTTGATCATAAAATTCAAATGTAACTTACCACACTATTATGGTAAAGTGTTCCCAGAACAAAACAAATTACATTTCACTTGAATCTTCGTGCTGCCAAAGTAAATAGAAAATGAAACTAGGGTTTACCTAAATTCGATATTAGGTATTTATTTTATCAGCGTTAAAAATAACCTTAGCTGACATACATATGTTCTTATTCTACCATATACCGTATTGATTTCTGACTTAAATATCCTTTTTACTAATTACAGTTTTTTTCAATCTCTATTGAATTATATTTTACGTGAATTTTTATTGAAATATATCAATCTGTTTTATCTTTTGTATCAGTTTTGAAGTTTTGAAAGCACATGTAACTGAATGTGATTTCAACATCACATAACTTTTTTGGCTACGACGAGTGTCTGTATAATAACTCTCAAATACAAATACTCCCTTTGAATAATTTATTCATGAAATTGAATGATTGGTGAATAAATGTTTTAGTGTAATAATGATTTAGTCTGTTGCTGTTGCTTTTTATTATTGTTTTTTTTATTATTATTATTATTATTATTATTAATGCAATAATTACAATAAATGATTATCATTCTTTTTTCTTTCTTTGGAAGGTCATATGAAAAAATACTCGTTTAAGTTGTCATTCAAAATTTGTTCACTTATAAAAAAGTGATTTCATTTTTATCATCATCATCATCATCATCATCATCATCATCATCATAATAATCATCATCATCATCATCATCATCATCATCATCATCATCATTATCATCATCATCATTATCATTATTATTATTATTATCATCATCATTATTATTATTATTATTAACCCGTGGTATGTTCACTGATTTGTCCCTGCCTATGTACAAGATATCGACCTAGTCAAATTTCGCACCATTCGAAATACATGTATATGATATGTTAGACATCTTCTTTCTTCACAAAATTTCAATTTGTTTTGACACCGTTGAAATTGTCCACTTAAAAAGAAATGTAGTACATCTTTAATCCTTCCGCCAAGATATGAAGTCCTGGAGAAAAGATACACAACTACTTTTGAAGTCATCATATAACATAGATGTAATAAGTAGACATAAAACTATGGATGAACTAGCCGGAATCCGGTTCCGGATATACAGGCTGGCCAGAGATGATACGGTAAAACCTGTGCAAAAGACCACTGACTAATTCCATAATTTAATGTCAAATTTCTTATCACAACGATCTCCGGCTATTACGGATAGCCAGAAAAATAAAATTCAAGGCTACATCAGATGAAAAAAATCCGACAGCAGATTGAAGAATATGTGTTGTGCATTGTGTGTCCGGGTGTCCGCGGGTATAGGTGTGTCCGTCGGGAATACTCTGGTATTTTGCCGACGTTGAGCCGAAAATCGTTTTAGACAGCTCATATCGGGCCAATTCCGGCTGGCCCCTATGGGGACCAGACTCAATTACGCAGAACCACACATGGTGGGATGGTTAGGGGGTCTGACGGGGAGTCCGGGGGTATAGGTGTGTCCGTCGGAAATACTCTGGTATTTTGCCGACGTTGAGCCGAAAATCGTTCTAGACAGCTCATTTCGGGCCAAATCCGAATGGCCTCTGTGGGGAACAAATTCAATAACGCAGAACCGCACATGGTGGGATGGTTAGGGGGTCTGACGGGGTGTCCAAGGGTATAGGTGTGTCCGTCGGGAATACTCTGGTATTTTGCCGACGTTGAGCCGAAAATCGTTCAAGACAGCTCATATCGGGCCAATTCCGGCTGGCCCCTCTGGGGACCAGACTCAATTACGCAGAACCGCACATGGTGGGATGGTTAGGGGGTCTGACGGGGTGTCCGCGGGTATAGGTGTTTCCGTCGGGAATACTCTAGTATTTTGCCGACGTTGAGCCGAAAATCGTTCTAGACAGCTCATATCGGGCCAATTCCGGCTGGCCCCTGCGGGGACCAGACTCAATTACGCAAAACCGCACATGGTTGGATGGTTAGGGGGTCTGACGGGGTGTCCGCGGTTAAAGGTGTGTCTGTCTGGAAAACTCTGGTATTTTGCCGACGTTGAGCCGAAAATCGTTCTAGACAGCTCATATCGGGCCAATTCCGGCTGGCCCCTGTGGGGATCAGACTCAATTACGCAAAACTGCACATGGTGGGATTGTTAAGGGGTCTGACGGGGTGTCCGCGGGTATAGGGGTGTCCGTCGGGAATACTCTGGTATTTTGCGTACGTTGAGCCGAAAATCGTTCTAGACGGCTCATATCGGGCCAATTCCGGCTGGCCCCTGTGGGGACCAGACTTTATTACGCAGAACCGCACATGGTGGGATGGTTAGGGGGTCTGACGGGGTGTCCGCGGGTATAGGTGTGTCCGTCGGGAATACTTTGGTATTTTGCCGACGTTGAGCTGAAAATCGTTCTAGAAAGCTCATATCAGGCCAATTCAGGCTGGCCCTTGTGGGGACCAGACTCAATTAAGCAGAACCGCACATGGTTGGATGATTAGGGGGTCTGACGGGGTGTCCGCGGGTATAGGTGTGTCCGTCTGGAATACTCTGGTATTTTGCCGACGTTGAGCCGAAAATCGTTCTAGACAGCTCATATCGGGCTAATTCCGGCTGGCCACTGTAGGGACCAGACTCAATTACGCAGAACTGCACATGGTTGGATGGTTAGGGGGTCTGACGGGTGTCCGCGGGTATAGGTGTGTCCGTCGGAATTACTCTGGTATTTTGCCAACGTTGAGCCGAAAATCGTTCTAGACAGCTCATATTGGGCCAAATCCGGCTGGCCCCTGTGGGGACCAGACTCAATTACGCAGAACCGCACATGGTGGGATGGTAAGGGTGTCTGACGGGGTGTCCGCGGGTATAGGTGTGTCCGTCGGGAATACTCTTGTATTTTGCCGACGTTGAGCCGAAGATCAATCTAGACAGCTCATATCGGGCCAATTCCGGCTCTCCCCTGTGGGGACCAGACTCAATTACGCAGAACTGCACATGGTGGGGATGGTTAGAGGGTCTGACGTGGTGTCCGCGGGTATAGGTGTGTCCGTCGGGAATACTCTGGTATTTTGCCGACGTTGAGCCTTAAATCGTTCTAGACAGCTCATATCGGGCCAATTCCGGCTGGCCCCTGTGGGGACCAGTCTTAATAACGCAGAACCGCACATGGTGGGATGGTTAGGGGTCTGACGGGGTGTCCGCGGGTATAGGTATGTCCGTCCGGAATACTCTGGAATTTTTGCCGACGTTGAGCCGAATATCGTTCTAGACAGCTCATATCGGGCTAATTCCGGCTGGCCCCTGTAGGGGACCAGACTCAATTACGCAGAACTGCAACATGGTTGGATGGTTAGGGGGTCTGACGGGGTGTCCGCGGGTATAGGTGTGTCCGTCGGAATTACTCTGGTATTTTGCCGACGTTGAGCCGAATATCGTTCTAGACAGCTCATATTGGGCCAAATCTGGCTGGCCCCTGTGGGGACCAGACTCAATTACGCAGAACCGCACATGGTGGATGGTAAGGGTGTCTGACGGGGTGTCCGCGGGTATAGGTGTGTCCGTCGGGAATACTCTGGTATTTTGCCGACGTTGAGCCGAAAATCAATCTTGACAGCTCATATCGGGCCAATTTCGGCTCTCCCCTGTGGGGACCAGTCTCAATTACGCAGAACCGCACATGGTGGGATTGTTAGGGGGTCTGACGTTGTGTCCGCGGGTATAGGTGTGTCAGTCGGGAATACTCTGGTATTTTGCCAACGTTGTGCTGAAAATCGTTCTAGACAGCTCATATCGGGCCAATTCCGGCTGGCCCCTATGGGGACCAGACTCAATTACGCAGAACCGCACATGGTGGGATGGTTAGGGGGTCTGACGGGGTGTCCGCGGGTATAGGTGTGTCCGTCGGGAATACTCTGGTATTTTGCCGACGTTGAGCCGAAAATCAATCTAGACAGCTCATATCGGGCCAATTCCGGCTCTCCCCTGTGGTGACCAGACTCAATTACGCAGAACCGCACATGGTGGGATGGTTAGGGGTCTGACGGGGTGTCCGCGGGTATAGGTGTGTCCGTCGGGAAAACTCTGGTATTTTTGCTGACGTTGAGCTGAAAATCGTTCTAGACAGCTCATATCGGGCCAATTCCGACTGGCCCCTGTGGGGACCAGACTCAATTACGCAGAACCGCACATGGTGGGATGGTTAGGGGGTCTGACGGGGTGTCCGCGGGTATAGGTGTGTCCGTCGGGAATACTCTGGTATTTTGCCGACGTTGAGCCGAAAATCGTTCTAGACAGCTCATATCGGGCCAATTCCGGCTGGCCCCTGTGGGGACCAGACTCAATAACGCAGAATCGCACATGATGGGATGGTTGGGGGGTCTGACGGGGTGTCAGCGGGTGTAGGTGTGTCCGTCGGGAATACTCTGGTATTTTGCCGACGTTGAGCCGAAAATCGTTCTAGACAGCTCATATCGGGCCAATTCCGGCTGGCCCTTGTGGGGACCAGTCTTAATAACGCAGAACCGCACATGGTGGGATGGTTAGGGGGTCTGACGGGGTGTCCGCGGGTATAGGTATGTCCGTCGGGAATACTCTGGTATTTTGCTGACGTTGAGCCGAAAATCGTTCTAGACGGCTCATATCGGGCCAATTCCGACTGGCCCCTTTCGGGACCAGACTCAATTACGCAGAACCCCCTAGGTGTCCGCGGGTAAAGGTGTGTCCGTCGGGAATACTCTGGTATTTTGATGACGTTCAGCCGAATATCGTTCTACACAGCTCATATCGGGCCAATTCCGGCCGGCCCCTGTGGGAACAGACTCAATTACACAGAACCGCACATGGTTAGGGGTCACACCTATACCCGCGGACACCCCGAGAGACCCCCTAACCATCTGTGTCCGCGGGTATAGGTGTGTCCGTCGGGAATACTCTGGTATTTTGCCGACGTTGAGCCGAAAATCGTTCTAGACAGCTCATATTGGGCCAATTCCAGCTGGCGCCTGTGGGGAACAGACTCAATTACGCAGAACCGCACATGGTGGGATAGTGAGGGGGTCTGACGGGGTGTCCGCGG